TCCCAAAATAAAATTTATAAAAAAGACATTTATATTTATGAAAAACACATTTAGTACACTAACCATGCATCAAACAATTATAATCAATTACAATAGTCATTCCCAAAATAAAATTTATAAAAAAGACATTTATATTTATGAAAAACACATTTAGTACACTAACCATGCATCAAACCATTATAATCAATTACAATATTATAATATACCAATAGTAATTTGACCTCACGTAATATATTATAAATATCATCAATTATATCAGTATATAAAGGATATATACATGTATATTATATCTTAATCAATTTCAACCATTGGCACAAACACAAACTACTAGATTATTCATTATATAATAACTAAATAGAATATTCTTTATTTGTCTTTCTAAAATAATTCATTCTTTAAGATGGTATGGTAAATTTTATGATGTTATTCATTAGTAAAAAAATCAATCAAGTAAATAATATCAAATTAAATTTATCATAAAATACTTTAACTTCTCATGTATACAGTATAATTTCGTTGGTGAATTGATACTCGGTAAATTACTATTTAATGTGTATCTATCTAATTATATTGGTGGAGTTTTACACTGGAGTCGTACACCAATTTATTAACATACTATTAACAGTATGTGTATTATTATCTATTAATATATATAAAGAGACAATGATATTTACTTGAAATACCAACTAAAAATAAACAAAAAAATATTTGGTTTCCAGTCTAAAATATTTACTATATTGAGTAATATTTTTGGCCAAAATTTAAAAAATTCCACTAAAATTAATATACAGAATCATTTTGGTCAAATATTGCGGCTATTACCTTTATTAGTTGCATGATTTAAATTTGGAATATAATATATTGACAAAACTTGCAGCTATTGACTTTATTAATTGTATGGTTTAAGGAAGGTGTATTCAATTAAGATTTCTAAAGACTTTTCAAGACTTTACAAAATCTTGGTGTATTCAATTTAGATTTGTTAAGACGTTTTAAGGCTTTTAAAAATCTTGGGTTATTCAATTGAAATTTTAAAAAGTCTTACAAAATCATCAGGTATTTAATTTATTTGACACTAGGATTTGTTAAGACTTTTTAGGATTTTGTGGGATTTCTAAATAAAAAAACTTTATACGAAATCCTACTTCAAATCTTACCTCCAGACTTAAGATTTCACGGAATTTCTCCAAAATCTGGAAATCTTAACAAATCTCAAATTTTAAAAAGTCTCAAAATGTTACTTGAAATCTCAATTGAATATGGCCCACTAAATTTGGTATATAATATATCGAAAAAAATAAAAAGATTTTTATTTAAATTTAAAAATAAAAAATAATTATTAATAAGTTACGGGTCAATATTAACTTGGACGTAAACGAATTAGTCAATTATTTATAGTTTAAAAAATTACTCGGCTATTTAATTTTTTTATTTGAATAGTTTATACAATAATAAATTATTTCAAGTAATGAAACAATAAAAAATTTATATTTATACTTCTTATTCACATAAGTTATTAAATATATGATAACATTTTACCAAAATAACTATTTTATGGAATCACTTATAGTCAAATCGATTTTCTGAATAAAAATTTTGAAATGCTTATTTTGAAACGAATATAATGTAATTTATTATAAGTTATGTACACTACACGGATTGTATACTAATTTTAAATAGACATTTTTATGTAATTTTGCACAATTTAAACTTTATATAACATTTTCAATAAATTAATATTAGGTAAATTGTATTACATAATTGATTCCATATTTTTATTATATATATATATATATATATATATTATTTAATAAAAATTTTAATTTATAAATATTAATGAATATCTCGTATCTGCACGGGACTCCTACTAATTTTGATATACATGACTTATAATATTTTTATATTTTATTCTACAGATGTAAACGATTGACTGATTGAGTACTAACTAGTGTATATCCCGTGCGATGCACAGAAGAGTTCATATTTTGAACATTTTTTAGACTTTATTTTAAATATAATTATTTATATTTTTCACATCTCGTCTATTATGAAAATAAAATAAATACAATAAATGAAAAATATATATTATTAAATACTTTTCCTTATACAATATTTTTTATTTAAGGAATATTATTAAACCTTACGGTTTTGATTTGTTTTTTAAATCAATAATCCAAAATATATGATTGTTAACGTACAATAAATAATGGAAATAATCCAGACTTTAAAGTGAAGCTGTTTTTTATTATTTTACAAATAAAAATCTTCCAAATTTTTTTTAATTTAAAAAAATTTTGGCAAGTTTGATAATGAGTTAAATCAAGTTATACAAATGATTAAATAGTTAAAATGTTATATTAATTATATTTTAAGAAATCCGATTATATAAAAATGGGTAAAAAAAATATTATACTAATTAGTTTGTTAGGATTGTGATTATATGGAAGTTAAAATAAAATGAAATGTAACCAAAAAATTTGTTCGTGGTCATTTCCTTTAAATGTTTGAATTTAAAAATCTAGTAACCAAATTTACATTATATCACGTAAGGAAAAAAATAAATAATAAATATTTATTAAGGAGATAAATCAATAATATTTATCACTTAGATAATAAATAATAAATATTTACATGTAAAAAAATAGATAATAATATATATAAAAATATACGTCAGAATTTCAAATAAAGTAAAAGGAGGGATATTTCATTTTTTAAAAAAAGTTTCTAAATATTTAGTATATTGATAAGTATCTCCATAAGAATAATCATACCATTTTAATTTTAAAAAAATTGACAAGTTTGTTAGAGAGATAAATTCGGTTAGACAAATGATTAATTTGTTAAGATATTATTTAATTGTATCATAAAAAATTAGTTAGATAATATAGATAAAAAAATATAATACTAATTAGTTTGTTAGAAATGTGATAATGAAAATCAAGATAAAATGAATTTACCAAAAAAAATTGTTTGGAATCTTTTCCTTTAAATGTTTGAATTTACAAATTTAATACCGAAATTCTATTATATCACATAAGAAAAAAATAAATAATAAACATTTATTAATATATTAAAATATGTAATTTTGAATTTCATATAAAGTAAAAGGTATGCTTATTCAAATTTATTTTTAAAATAAAAGTTATGATAAACATTTATTGATTCTCTTTCAAATATATTAATAAAATAAAAATATAAATCTAAACAAATTTTGAAACAAACAAAAAAATCGGATTGATTGACATAAAAAAAAGAAGTGAAATCGGATTTGAATGCTAAAATCGGAACACCTTACCAAATTGAATGCTAAAAGATTCGATTTGATTGGTTACCTAATTGCATGGGCTGAAAAAATTCAAAAAAAAA